ACCACCGTCGGTAAACACATTAATGTTCTCCTATTTGCAACCAAGAACTTGTAGATCTCAAATTATCTTATTTCCCTTCCAAGCAGCAATTATTGTCTGAGTTAAACAAATAAACCAAAAAGCCCTATTACCTGCAGTTCATAACATCCATGGATGCTCAATTTGGTCAAGAATCTTGGAATCGTAACCATCAATTTCATCACAACAAAATATCCCTACAAAACTCATTTCAATTAAGTGGTGGAATCAACAATAAGATCATTGGCTACTATATTGGCAAATGGGAATGAGGCTACTGTAATTGAATTTTATTCACCCAACTTCGATTTTAGCTTTCAAAAATAAAAACAAAAAATAGACACATATAGATGTATACAACAAATACATACAGATTTACTCAAAAATTATTTAAAATTAAACCAAAAACAAAACTAAATAAATGCAGATTTATAAAAATACATACAGATCCATACAATATATACATACAAATGCATATAAATACAGATAGATTCACACAGGTACACGTAAAATTGGCTAAGAAAAAGAAATTTGGTCAGAGGGGATTACTGAGGTGGGAATAGGGTGGGATGAGTTTGAGTTTGGTTTTTTGGGTAGGGGTGAGTGGGGTGGGAGTGGGGTGGGTTCTTCTATTTCTGTTTTTATTTTTTTTTATTTAATTATTATAATTTTTATGTGAAATTTTAAACTTATCATTTCACCCCTTTAATTTGGTCAAAATTAGTCAAATTTAACTTTTCTTGGTCAACTAACGGTCAAATAGATGATTTGGACTCCAGCTGCTAATTTCTCAAAGGTTTGAGACTTTCGTTGGCACAAAATGAAGGTTAAGGTAGAGTCTACAAAAAGGCAAAAGTTTGGGACCACTACTGCAATTTTTCCAATGGCAAAATGATAAAGTTGGACATTAATTAAAAGTCAAACTATAATAATAGCAATCAAATTATCCAAAGTAGGCTCCATCGATCCTACAAACAATAAAAATTAGCTGCACATCAGCTTATACAAACACATTGCAATGTATGAAAATAATTTACCTTTCGGCCTTCAAGCTCAAGTTGGAAAATGAGAAGACGCCATGTCAATTGTGATGTCATTTG